TGCTGGTCTGGTCGCTCCATTTGACTCACTGATTGAGCCACCTGACTTTTCAGACTAATTTCAAATGAAACAGGCACCTACTTAGACACCCATAGAAACCTTTGTCCTGGTCACTGGTCACTGTTGGTCTTTTTACAGTGCAATACCTGGTCCCTTGTTTGTAAAAGCATGTCAAAATAAAAGTCCTTTATTTTTGGTTGTGTGTAAGAGCTTGCGGACGTTTTTCATTGAGTTGAGCACTTTTAAAGTTGTCTTATTTTGCAACATGATTTTTAAAGTTTTAAAACAAAAATCATGCCAAACTTTATTATTTAGAATTTTATATATGTCTAAATGACCTTTTTTCATATCTTACTTAATCAACATATATGGTGGGACAGTTGCACTGCCTGACATTGGAAGCAAAAGAAACTAAAATGAATTCTATAGGGATGCACTGAATATTGTTTCACAAAAAATATGTATTGTTGAATATTTGTCAGGTATGTATTACATTATTTTTTGGAAGAATAAAACATATCAAGGAACCAGCTAACAAGTAATAGAAGCCGTTAATATCTCTGCTAGGTTAGCGCTGTGCTAACTGCTGTCTAAATACTTAGACGTTTGCTTCAAACTGTGTCAAATTATTAAGCAATCTATAATAAACTTGCTTTTGAGCCATTAGAGCCAGTTTAAGGTAAACCTAGCCACTTCTTATTTCTCCCTTTATATCCAAAACATGCAAAAAGTGTCTGCTAATCCTCCTTTAATTTTGGTTAGCATTACTGCTACTGAGTTCTGATTGGTTGGCATCACTGCTACTGATTGCTGATTGGTTGGCAGTACTGCTACTGAGTTCTGTTTGGTTGGTATTACTGCTACTGATTGTTGATTGGTAAGTATTACTGCTACTGATTGCTGATTGGTTAGCATTTCTGCTACTGAGTGCTGATTGGTTAGCTTTACCGCTACTGAGTCCTGATTGGTTAACATTACTGCTACTGAGCGCTGATTGGTTAGCATTACTGCTACTGAGCGCTGATTGGTTACCATTACTGCTACTGAGTGCTGATTGGTTAGTATTATGACTACTAAGTGCTGATTTGTTAGCATTACTGCTGCTGAGTGCTGATTGGTTAGCATTTCTGCTACTGAGTGCTGATTGGTTAGAATTACTGCTACTGAGTCCTGATTGGTTGGCATTGCTGCTACTGAGCGCTGATTGGTTAGCATTACTGCTACTGAGCACTGATTGGTTACCATTACTACTACTGAGTGCTGATTGGTTAGCATTACTGCTACTGGGAGCTGATTGGTAAATATTACCACTACTAAGTGCTGATTGGTTAGCATTAGTGCTACTGATTGCTGATTGGTTAGCATTACTGCTACTGAGTTCTGAGTGGTTGGCGTTACTGCTACTGAGTTCTGATTGGTTAGCATTACTGCTACGGAGTGCTGATTGGTTGGCATTACAACTATTAAGTGCTGATTGGTTAGCATTACTGCTGCTGAGTGCTGATTGGTTAGCATTAACAACAGAGTAAATATTTTATGCTGTCCTGTGTTGAGAAACAAGTGTATTTTTCTGTAAAAATAATTAAGCAGTTACAAACTACAATTTAGCACAAAAGCTCCATAGGACCCATTTATTTTGGACTCACTAGCGCCTCTAGCGTCATAAAACATTACTGAGTGAAAGTTGTCCTTACTAGATATTCTGTATGATATACGTCATCTATAATCATGGATCAAAGGATGTACAGGATTTCAAGATGGCAACTTCTACTGTTTATAGCTTGCAATGCATAGATTACAGTGTGTCTTGCAGTGTAAGAAACAATATAATCAAGTCCACAGACTTCTACTCACTCAGTTTGAGAAAAGTGTGTAGGGATTTAAGGCCCAGTCACACTTATGCTTGCCAGTGAAAGTGCACTTTCACCACAACAAGTGTGAAATTTCATACTTATCGAATTTGCAACTTTGGCTTTGTTGACTTCTGAGGGAGCAAAGCTTCATATAGCAGCACTGAATATCCAATACAAATGCTAGTTTAGCTGTGTTTAAGCACAAACTTAAGCATTTCTTTCCCACTGGCTGTACACAACCACATGTGTGACATGTTTTCAGTCTTTATCTTTACCTTTGTAGTTTTAATGTTTTTGGCAGACAAGTTAGTCAGCTTGCTAATTGCTTTGATAGCTGATTGGCTAACCACAGCTGTGCACAGCTACCAACCATGTTTGCTACACGTCATTGTGCAGCACTGCTCTGTGGTGGGAATACAGTTATCTGATAGAATTTTGCTTTTGTTTTCTTATTGTATATCACAGGTGAGTTAGCCAGCTTTTAAACTGCTGTGTTAGCTCTTTGGCTAACCGCTGCTGCACCAACCTGGAGAATGTTGCTTGTGGCCAATTTTCCATCCAGCCTCAGTCGTGACCATTTTCAAGGCGACGCAAAATGCAAATGTCTAGTGGTTTTAGCCAGGTGGTTTGCGTGGGTGCACTGCTGCGCTGCAGTGTACTGCACTGTGTTGTGGTATTATGAACTTTTTACACACTACAGAGTGCTGCACTATTTTCAGCCCAACTCAATGAGGTCACAGTGACCAAAACCACATTGAGAATGTCCCATAAGGCCGAGCTGCAGCGTCTCATAAGCAGGGGTTAAACTGAGACTTTGGAAGTGGGGGGAGGTTTTTTAGTCCAGGGCCGTCTCCAGTGTAGGGATAATTATATAGAGTTCTCAGCACTGATATCATGAAAATGGGATTAAAACTAACAGCCTATCTGTTTCTCTCTTAAAGGGGAATTCCACCAATTTTTCAAAATGGTTGATTGTGGAGACTCAGATGTCTTTACAGTGGCGGTAATAGGAAATAGGGGTTGCCATGACTACAACACAAATATAGACATTTTATTTACTATCCAGAACCACCAGTGAACCTACACAAGTCTTCTGAGTTTATATGGAATGTTGATGATGGAAAATAGTGGAAAATCTGGAACACCCTGCATGTACCTCTCCACTGTTTTAACAGAACATTTCTGTTTTAGGCTAAAAACGTGTTTAAACTGTCGTAAAACAGTGTCTCAGACATCAGGCAGTGAATTCATAACCATTTCATGTAATAACTTTCAGTGAGGTGGACGTCTGGTTCCTATCACCACCACTGTGAACAGTTCTGACTCCCTAGGTTTCTCTAGAACCATTTAATAATGCAGGAATTTAGAAAAATAGGTGGATTTATTCTTTACTTGCTTAATTATGGCAATTAATCCCATTTGTTTGCTGGTTTTAATGTTCCTTTATATCAAAATTTGATCGCAATCTTTTCTGACAGAGATGAAAGTAAGTAAACAGTCACTGGGTCAGTCCCCCTCTTGTCGCTGGGGTGGAACCCTCAAGGGTTCATCTCAGTACCTTTAGTCAGGGAACATAACTGAACCATAATCCACTGAAATGATATGTTCTAAGCTGTACTGACTCCACACACCCCGTCTCGTCTCCAGGCTTTTATTTTACTGTTCTGTTTAAAACATTCGGTTATGAAAAGGTACAAATACGAACTTTTCACCTGGAAAAACTTATTTAAGGTTCACAGTCAGACCTTAAAACCACTGTTGTACCTTTGAGGGAGCATTTACACTGTTTGTACCTTGATGAAAAAAACGTACCTGCACAGAACCTTTATTTCTAACAGCGTAGAGATTATACAGTTTATCCACAAAACTTGGTTCACCTTTATGAACATTGCCAAGTGTTCATTAGATTTGGGAACCTGAAACTAATGCAAATTCCAGCCTTCCTACCGAACATCACTAACCATCACTCTGCTGAACTGATGCACTGTAAAAATGTCAGGACAGCTTATAATCAGGTAATTAGGCAATTAAAATGAGGTCAAATAGCTTAGCTTCTTCATCACCATTTTCCTCTCTTTGTCACTTAGAATAGCCCCTTAAATGGTCAGGACCCACCAGCAGGCCCAAAGTTTTATTACACACTCCTATAACCTAAGAACAGCTCAGCCAGTTTGCACTGACGTCCCTGTTATTAATGAGTAATGAGCCTTAGTATGTAATAATCCTGATTTTCAGGGGTTAAACAGGCTGTTTTTGTTACTGTGCCTTTCAAACTGATATATTGACGATGTAATTGAGCTCTATTCTGAATGGTATTGTGTCCTTTAAAAAAAACACTTCTGATAATGGTCAGCGTGAGTGGGCGGGGCTAAACTGCTGTAAGGTGAATGGCGTGGTCATAAGTAAATATGTTCATGGTTGTGATGTCAGTGAATTCAAAACATGCTGGTTTACAAATATTAACTGTTGGTATTGTGGGGTGAATGGCATGTTATGAAACTTACATTATGTACAAAGTATGTAAAGCTTTTATTTAAAAAATAGAAAATTCTGGAAATTTTGTTATTTTTATGATATGGGAAGATCAGAAATGTCTATTTCTACAGCGCTGAGCACTGACAGCGGGTTTGATCCTTAGAAATGACAAAAAATGAGAAGAATTTGCTGTTGTTTCCATGTTATGATATATATATATATATATATATATATATATATATATATAATATACATATATACACACACACACACACACACAATCAGGCATAACATTGTGACCACCTCCTTGTTTCTATGCTCATTGTCCATTTTATCAGCTCCACTTACTATATAGGTGCACTTTGTAGTTCTACAGTTACAGACTGTAGTCCATCTGTTTCTCTGCATACTTTGTTAGCCCCCTTTTACCCTGTTCTTCAGTGGTCAGAACCCCCATGGACCCTCACAGAGCAGGTACTATTTGGGTGGTGGGTCATTCACAGCACTGCAGTAACACTGACGTGGTGGTGGTGTGTTAGTGTGTGTTGTGCTGGTCTGAGTGGATCAGACACAGCAGTCCTACTGGAGTTTTCTGTGTATATATGCATGCCAAGCACAAATATTCCAGTTTAATCACTGTGGATTTTGTCCTTCTGTCCTTCTGTCTTTCAGCATGAGAAGCAAAGCGGGATGAAGGATTCGGAGCGTCCTCACTGAGGCCTGGTTGATGTAAATGTGGAACTCAGACAGCTCCTGCTTTCAACTTAACAGCGCGAGATACAGCAGCACTGGGTCCAAATCAGCCAGCAGGACGAGCGGAAGAGAAACCCAGTAACATCTAACTAACATCTCACAGTTCCAGATTAATATAGTCGTGCAGGAGCCTGCTCTGAATGAGGCTCGGGCTGTGGATAGCATTGGTAGGTTATGTTAGTAATAGTAAGTTTTTTGTTCAGATTCCTTTTGTTTCATCTTGTTTTGCGTTTTCTAAGCCATCTCATATGAATAGTATGAATTCTGTGAGGCAGATATGTAGCAGTCATACCCAAATGAGCAAAGAAACATGCTGGATGATGAAGATTTTGTTTAGAACTGGAAGATGAAGGATAATTTTAGGACACTTTAGTTAATGAAGTAATGAACAAACTCATATGCAGTAAGAGTAGCATGTGCATAATCACACCACTGTGGCTTTACTGCACCATCATCATGTATTACAGAGAGATTATATGATTTAATGTTTAATGTAATGAATAAAAACAGTTTTTACCTCAATCTCTTATGGTTTGGAAATTTTATTGTAACATTTCGACTTCAGTTGTTTTAATTTCTTTCTTTCTGCAGTTTTAAATTTCCATACACAGTGTATGCTGCACATTTTAAGGGGGAACTCCAACGATTTTGCAAAATTCCTGCATAATGAAATGGTTAAGATGTAAACAGAGTCGTTCAGAGTGGTTTGGTGTGAAACGCTTCAACATGGTGGTGGTAGTATGAGGGAAGGCTGATTGAGGGAGGGGGAGAACTCTGAGAGCTTGGGCTGGAGCTCTGGGCGGCTTCTATCAGTAGCTAGAAGGCCGGATCCCCTCATAGCTGTAGTAGGACTGATCCAGGACTGAGGAACAGGGAGGAGATGGGGTGGCGGTGGGGATTGTGAACCCTTCATCACGGGAACAGAAGGTAATGATGTGAATTTATAGGGCATTCCATTGGAAGAAGGAGGGGTTTCAGCCATGCTCCTCCCCCCAAACTTCCATTATAACATAACCACATTTGCTAACCTCAGAAATACAGGCGTTCGTCTTACTTTAGCTCACCATAGAAAGCAGAAAGACGTGTCACTTTATCTTTGTTATAGTTGCCAAGATTGGAATTCCAGGATGCGTCCAGAACTGTTGGAGAACCAAACACACAACAACGAAGGAGTCCAAAGTAAATTGGTTCACAGCTATTAGAGTACAATAACATCAGCTATCAGAAAGCGGCTGCAGCAGCAACTTTTAATCACAAGCTGCATTCAGTGTGATGTTAGTCAGCAGTGGAGAGATGCTGACACTGAGGATCTTTTCCTCCGTAAGAAAAAATTAATTCCCTTATTAACCGCACAAATCGTTTTTCCTCTGCTCATCATCAGCTGACAAACCACTGAAACTGAGAGGAGGCTGTTTTTGCTTCAAGTTCTAACATTTGAGTAAGTTCTACACCAGGGGTGTCAAACTCAACCAGTAAAATATCTCATCAAATCTGTAGGCCTGAGAAAATATGAAAAATATGTTTTTATTTCATTTTTAATTAATGTTGTAATTGTATAACCTGAACTGGCCGTTGTTTATTAAAATATGCAAAAACGTAAAGAGTAAAATACAAACACTTGTAGTGGACCTTGAAATATTCCTCATTTAAATGTCTCCAGGAGTTCAGTCTTTTAAACCTGCCTGTTTGCTTGAACTGGACACCCTGGCATCCTTCCTTTGCTGCAGGTTCATTAAGACTTGGGCTCCGTTGCTGAGCTGACGTTAAGTGTTCATGTTGGTTGAACTGCAGCTGAAATGCATTTTGGTGATATGACTGGTGTGGAATTGTGTAGAACTGTGTAGACTGTTGTTGGGGTAGGAGAGTTGGAGCACATTACGTTGCAGTGCATGCTGAGGACTGTAGTGCAGCACATTGTGAAACGAGCTAATATTAATAGAATATTAAAATACTTCTGCGGGCCGGATAGGATCATGTGGCAGGCCTGATCCGGACCATGGGCCTTGCATTTGACACATGGGCTCTACACGCTCGACTCATCATCGTTGCTACTGCAGTTGCTGTAGCGGAGGAGCAGAAAAAGAACTTCCACCAGAAAAAATGCGGAAAAGTGAAAAGGGCCTATTACTGAACAACTCAGTGAGTTTGTGATGACTTAGCAGTGGTGGACGAAGTACACAAACCATGTACCTGAGTTAAAGTAGAGACACCCAAGGTAAAATATTACTGCAGTAAAAGTAGAAGTTCCTCCCTTTAGACCTTCAAATGTACTTAAGTATCAAAAGTAAAAGTACTAAAAGATTAATTATGACTTTAATGTCCTGTTATCATTTTCTGTAACAAGACTCGCTTCATTAACTCATTTTAGGTGAAAATACTCCAGTATCTCTCTTGGTAAACCAGTCTTTTAATAGAATGTCATTAATTAGTGACGCTGATGTCTATTAAAATTATCATAAACACAAAACACTGAAGGCAAACAGTTTCCATCAGGTAGAACTGAGTGGCTCTGAAATCACTTTACAAACAAGCAAAGTTTCAGTTTAAGATTTATTTGAACTTAGTTACAAGTTTAAGTTTAATAAAAACTTTAAACTCAGATTCACAAATGAGTTTCCTTTACTAAACTGCATCTGTAGGTCTCTGTTCATAAACATAAACTAGCCTAAACTAATTTACTATAAAATGAAATAGTGTTTGTATAAATTCAGAAAAAGACCCGTCAGTCACAACTGCATATGAGTACATATTTCTATATTGTGGTCTGTTTACACAAAGTTAGGTTAGTTCATCATTTATGTTGAATAGACTCTCCCAGAATTTTACGCTGCTGCACTGATGTTGAACCGTGTGCTGCACTGGGTCGGTATGACCAACAGGTCAAAACAAGCTCAGAACAAAGTGACCGCTGTGCCTGATTGGTGTTCTTACTTTGCTCTTCTTTTGTTGTGACATGTTATGTTTTTATACACACATAAACCAAAAGGAGCGACAGATTTCTCATAATGTAGTGGAGCAAAAAGTGAGATATTAGACTTTGAAATGGAGTAAAGGAAAAAGTCACCCAAAATACTTCAGTAAACTACTTAAGTACAGCAACAAATTACATTTACTTAGTTACTGTCCACCACTGTGACTCAGCCGTAATGCTAAGTGGTGATCAGCTTCTAACACCCGTCAGCTACAATAGCCTCGTAGCTCTAGTGCTATTACTAAGGAAGCAAACTTCAGATACCAAACATGTTTTGGCTGATTGACTACATTTGTGGTCACACTAATGTAGCTGTAATCTAATCACACATTCAGTCGGCAGATCCATGGCGGTGTATCAGGTACTAAACGCTAACATTTCCTCTTGTAGCAACAAAGTAAGTGCAGTACAGTAGACTTGTTCTATGTATTGGACACAGTGAGCCTGTAATGTTGCTATGATATCATCTCCAGTCTCCAGGCTCCTCTCTGATGGATGGAGCTACTCCATAATCCATTTTATTCTCTTTTTCTCTGAGAGAAACTTCTCAGCCGGGCCACAGACAGAGAAAGAAAATGTGGCACATTATCGCATTTATCTGAGTGTGTCATCGAGCAGTTATATTGGTGTGATGTGTTTGACCACAGAGCCGTTGAGCTGCTGATGGGAAGTGGTTAAGATGAAGTAGGCCAAGAGTGATCTTGTGCATTGGAGATGAAAGACATCAGCGCTAATTTTAAAGTTTTAGTGAGGGAGCTGGTGTCTTTGATCTGTTGCAATGGAAAGAAAGTAATCAGGAAGTCATCTATTCGGTTTATGTTGTTTTAAAATGGTTCTCAGCTCGGATGCACTTTGCAAGAGTCAGAGACCGCCCTTCATTAAGGTCAAAACCCCCATTAAGTACAAGTTGTTCACTTTTCAGCATCAGGAAGAAAAGCAAAAGCATATTTAACAGACATTAATACAGAAGATCATTTCAGATGTTTGAGTGTCAGTGAGTCACTCTTCACCTTTATTCCAGCTTCCATTCTTTTCAGGAGACTCACTTTCAGCTCCTCAAAGAATCTGCAGACACACCTCCAAAGTTCAGTCTTAGAAGCTGGTTGATGATTTTCTGAAGTAATCAAACACATTCAGTGGTGTTGAGGTCTGGACTCTGGGGTGGTCAGTCCATCGTTCAGCTTCTTTGTTTGATGTGTCCGTCTCCTTTTCTCAGTGAGGTTGTTCTTGACAGCTACACATCCTTTCAGACCCACAGCGCTGAGTCGTCTTCTCACAGTGGAAGGATGGACAGAAACACCTGTGGATGTTTTCAGATCTGAAGCAGCTTGATTTTCTCCTCTCTCTCAGAGATGAAAGCTTTAAGTGCTGTTTATCTGATGGGGGCAGTTTTGGGGTCTACCAGGTCTTCCAGGTGGTCATCAGGAGTCCCTAGTAACCACCCAGCAACACTCTAGCAATCACTTCCAATACCATAGCAACCATATAGCAACACCCTAGCAAGTAGCAGAGATGTCATGTCAGCTGCTTAGCAACCACCAGGAATGTCATAGCAACCATGTAACAATAACCTAGTAACCATCTGGTACACCCCAGAACCCCCCGCTAGCAAATTGCTTGCAACCACAACCATAGCAAGGGGTGTTGTAGCAAAGTAAGTGTTTCTAATAAAGTCTACCAGCTCTTCCAGGTGGTTGTTAGGAGGCACATTTTCTCTGTAGCTTTTAATCAGTTTTTGAACTCCAGCTTTGGAAAAGAGAATTCCAGCTTTCCTTGGGTATTGTTTTGCCTTACGACGCCCTGCTTGTACCCCTCCACCATGAATGCCTTTTAAAACTATTTACATTTTAAGCCAAAAACTATCATAAAACTGTGTCATCAGACAGTGAATTCATGATCATTTTATGTAATAACTTTGTGAGACGGTGCTTTTAGAGGTGGATGTCTGGTTCCTACAGAGGTGCTTTAACCTGCTCATGGGCCCTGGGGCTATAGGTGGTTGTGCACTCTATGGGTCTAGTTACACACAGTGTCCAAAAAACTTAAAACCTTTGTTTTTAATGAAGGTGCACACACAGCACTGCCATCACTTACTAGACGAACTTAAAAAAACCTAAAAGCCACAATCAGGTAAGGCTGGGAGTTTACACTGAGAAGGCAGTCCACTCCCAAACAGAGCTGCTTGCTTCACCAGATTGTTTTTGAATTTTGCATTCCACCTTAAATTGTGCCTCAGTTGCATTCTGGGGCCTTTAACCCTCCCATTAAGGTGAAATGGAAAATTCGTAAAGAATCTGGCGAATAGGAAGCCAGTTTTTGCGTCACTCGTGCCTTTTAGCTGGAAAACAGTTTGAGAAGAGTTTGTTTGCTGATAGCAAACGCAATTACATTTACATTTACAGCATTGAGCAGACGCTGTTATGCAGAGTGACTTACAAAAAGTGCTTTGTTGTCTATTTAGAGAGGGTATCTTTGCTAGTTACAAATAGGTTGGAGTGAAAGCTCGTCCTGAGCTCAGATACTGCTAGAAACAGTGCAGTGCAACATATTT